CATAGAATTCCAAAAGGTTATAAAAAAAAATTGTACCACTTACGGGCATGAATAGCCCGTAAGTGGTACAATTTTTTTTTCTCTCAGTATTCTGAGGTTGCATTTAACCATCAAGCTGTTATCTCGGGGGAGGATACTGCTTCACAGTCTTTATGAGGGTGTCCAGCTGCTGGACACCTTTGTTGACCAGGAAAGTGGCTGTGTTGATGGCTTCAGGGTGGCCACTGCATGATTCAGGAACTCTTAAAGCTCTTCTAAGGTCATTGGTTGCTTCACATTCCAGAAGATAGTGAAGTAATGGCTTTTCTGTGACAGTTTAGCAGGAGATGCACTCTCTCTGTCGGGGTTCACCAATCTCCCAGTTGCATCTGTAACCTAGACGTAGTCTATATAACCTAACTGCTATTTCCCTGTGGATTCCTTTTGGGATATTTAACCTTTCTAATTTGGTTGCCTGAAGATACCATGTTGCAGATGGCGAACCTTCAGCTATTCTCTGGTGTATTTAGGCTTTGTTGAGATGTGAGAGTTTTTTTGGTGATGTTTATGTTCTCTAGGCTGGGTTGAATTGTTTTATGTATCACTGGATGACGAGTTGCCAATTTAGCAATTTCATCAGCTTTTTCATTTAATGGGATTCCAATATGGGATGGGATCCAGTTTAAGGTTATGTTGAGTCCTTTGCCTTTAGCGACTGCTCCAAGATACAAAATGGTGGTAATTATTTCCACGTTATCTTTCCACTGTTTTTGTCCTAGTATTTGAAGTGCAGCTTTTGAGTCTGTGTGTATGATTGCATATTGAGTGTTTTGTGCAATTACATATGCGAATGCCTGTTGTATGGCAAACAGCTCAGTTTGGGTTGATGATACTAGTCCTCCCAGTCTCCAATATGCCTGTACGCTGGCCGTGCAAAGAGCAGCACCAGCACTCTCATATTCTGTGTTCACCGATCCGTCTGTGAAGATGTGGGTGGCTCCTGCTACTGCTATGCTATACATTTGCTCTTCTATTATGCGCCTTAGGATTGTCGGATCATAGGCAGCCTTTTTCATTGGGAGATTTTCTTACTATTTTGAAAGTAGGCTCTTCCCACGGTGCGGAAGGAGTGTAATTTGGATGTGGATGATCACCCTCTCTATCAAGAATCATGCTTTTTAAATGTAGTGTTTACGACTTTTCCTGCTCTTGCAGCCCAAGAGTTAACATTGTTTTGGCCTAGTCCAACCACCAAGGCCTGCCGTACTGGGATTGGATCAGAAGAAATAATTATCTTACTGATAATTGTAGCTATCCTTTATGATATTCTTTCTTGTAGAGAGGGCAAACCCGTCTCCAGTCTAAGATTTTCAAGCCTGGTCCACATGGGGGCTCCCAGTGCGGCTCTCATAACATTGTTTTGGGCATCTTCAAGCTTTTTCCACTGTTGGTGTGATAGATTTGCGAGTGCAGGTGCGGCATAATCGATCACTGATCTGACTGCCTGTACATAGTATGTGCGAAGGACTTGCAGATTGGCTCCTCCAGAAAGGGAGGTTAGCGACCTGAGGATTGCCGTCCGGGCCGCAGTTCGCTCTCTCAAGTAAGTGACCTCAGCATTAATATTCATGTGTGTGTCCAGGATGATTCCTAGATACTGTACTGATAGGTGTCGACCCATTCAATTGGTTGACCCTGTACTGTGAGTTGTACGTTGGGCTTCGCTATTTTTATGGGCATGGCCTTTGACTTTGAAGGGTTGAGTTTGATCCCAATCTGTTTTGCCTCTTTACTGATGCAGTCTAAGCATTTGGGTGCAAGGCGTGCCGCATCCCTTCCTTTTATGATGATGACAAAGTCGTCCGCGTAGTTTAGCAGCCTGCAGTGATGTGGAAGTTTCAACCTCATTATTCTTTCCTTTAAACAGTTGAAGAGAAGAGGGCTGAGAATACCTCCTTGCGGTGTACCATTTTCATGTTTTTTGTACTCAGAGACTGTGCCATGAAATTTTACTCTTGCTTGACAGTTTTTGGTCCAGGAGAGCAGGTTGCCTCTGACCTCTTTGTCAATGAGGCAGCAGCGGTCCGTCTAATTACCACAAGCTACACAAGCTTCACAAAGCTTCACAAAGCTTATGTTAGTAATGAATAAATATGATATATTTACTCATTATAATGTTGGTGCTGAATGTACAACACGAGAAAACATAATTTTAATCTGAAAGAGTATATTTTTATTAAGAAATTAGACGAAAATAAAGAGCTGATGACGCCAAATAAAGTCGACGATCCAAGCGTCGGTTAGGTTAGGTTAGGTTAGGTTAGGTTTGGTTAGGTTTGGTTTGGTTAAGTTTGGTTAAGTTAGGTTAGGTTAGTTTAGGTTAGGTCAGCCTAACCTAACATATCATATTTATTCATTACTAACGTATTGCCAGGAAGCTTTGTGAAGCTTTGTGAAGCTTGTGTAGCTTGTGGTAATTAGACGGACCCGGCAGCAGAGAATAGCTGGGGCGCTAGCCAGTTCAAAGGCTTTTTCGAGGTCCAGGAATATCAGCATTCCTGGTCTGTCATTCAAGTGGGCTAACAGAGTTGTAATACATTCCACTGTGCCAACCCCTCTTCTATAGGCATACATATCATGGTGCAGTTTAGTCATTTTCCACTCCAGTCTGTTGAGTGCCATTCTGTCAGCCGTCTTGGCTGCACAGCTTTGGAGAGAGATGGGCCTGGGATTAGCTGGATCTTTGGGTTTTGGGATAGGCACTATGTCTGCTCTATTCCAAGCAGAAGGTCTAGTTTGAGAAGTGCAGGCTAAATTAATTAACCTTAGGTATGCAGCGTCTCCCTCTGGGCTGAGGTTTCTAATCATTTTATAGGTTATTTTGTCGGCTCCAGGGGATGTATCCTTGGAGTTTTTCTCAGCCCGATTGAGCTCATCCAGTGTGAAGGGGGCATTAGTGTCAGAGACTTCTTCACATGCTGTAAGGATTCTGTGCCACCTTTCTTCCTCTAGTCCAGTCTGTACTGCTAATACATCTGGTGGAAGTTGATTGCTGGCTGCTCTCTCTGCAAACCTGGTTGCCAGTACTTCTTCTTCCTGTTGAGGATCCTTGGGTCAGGCAAGTTAGCCCATCAACCAATTTATAAGCAACCTGGGCCTAAAAACAGTTAGGTGAATGGAAATACAAGGCCACCAAAATCACAGCATTGCCAGTCACACACAAGGTAGCAGCCAGCAGCAACAACACGGCAGATTTGCCACAAATCAACATGTTTCCAGACATCACCATCTCCACTATCAACAGCATCTTACAACTTAACTAGTCATGACATCATACGATTCAAACATCAACTGCTGTAATTAATCCATATCAAATATGCATCTAAAATGCCATACTGTGTTTGTGTCACTATAGTAACAGGCATTACAAGTAGTATTAGAGTAAAAGGCTCATGTTTTTGTTTTTTATGATTTTTTATTTAAATTAATCTTGAAGTGGAATCTGTTTTCTTTTGCTATTCACTTTCGCACTCTCGGCGCTCCAAAAAAAACAATACCCCAGATCCTTTCGGCACTTCGCGCGCCTACGCGGTAAGACCGAAAAAGTGGACACTCTTTTGACTGTCCTGACAATAATTGAAGGCGCACGTATTTAAATTTGGTATCACTGTGTTCGCAATGAAATTGTCTATAAGAGCATACCTATAAAATGCCGCCCAAGCATAAGGAGTATCAACACCAAATAAAAAACTATGCAGATCACTCGCCGAGAGCGCCAAACAGCAACAAAATGTTTCCACTCTCTTAATGGTTGCGAAGCCTACAGTTGTCCTACATCGCTAATTTTGGTATCATTGGAATTGCAATAAAATTCTCTACACGGACATATGCATATGAATGTTTAATATAGGTAATTGCCCACCCGCAAGAGTGTGTGAAGTGGAGAGTAGTTAGCCGCGAGCGCACTGGCGAAAACACGGGGGAAATCATGCTTGGAAAGTTTATATATTTATACGTTTCCTGACCCTCCTTTTCTATGTATGTATTTCTTTTTTATACCAATGTGTTCGCAATAAAATTTTCTATAAGATGAAATGTATAACAATTGTACAAAGCATGTGTAAGAGAAGCGCCAAATATAGAACCACGTCGCTCAGTATGCGTTCGCGGCAGAAACGAACGCATTGTTTTCGTTCGTTTGATGTTTGTCATGTTTATACTTGTTGAAACATTTTATAATTTGTATGACAGTGATCGCAGTAAAATTCCCTACACAGACATATACATAACACATACAAATATTTCCCACGTGTTGGATATATCAACGGCTAAAGGGAACCCACTGCCACATGCCTGCCACACCCAGAGCCACACCCGACACACCCCCAAACATACTTTGTGTTTTTTTTTTTTTACTTATACTTTACTCTTTACTTTTTTTACTCTTTTTTTTTTTTACCCACTTCACGTAATTGTTCTGTTAGGCTTACCGAGTTATAGTAGTTATCCATATACAAATGATAACCCTTGTTGACTAGGGGCGCCATCAACCCCATCACGGTTTCCACTGTCGTTTTTCCAATTACACAATACACATCAAATTTATATATGTAGCCTGATTTCCCTTCGGCCAACATATAAAATTTTACACCATATTTATCAGGCTTGTTGGGATTGTAGACCTTGAAAGAGAGGCGGCCGCGCCATCCCATTGTACCCTCATTGAGACAATTCTTTTTTGGGGATATATACAGATATATACAGATTCAAATTTTTCTGAAAATTTTCGGTGAGGGAGAACGGGAATTTCATGGAGAAAAATCTGAGAGTATCCCCATCCATTTCGGTTAGAAAATGGAATTTATAGAAATATTTTTTCGATGAACTACAGGCGTCGTCTGTTATGCGGAAACGTAAGAAAATACGGTGACGACTCATGGATAATCCTAAGCGCGAAAGTGTTAATTTTAGTGGGCAGTGTTGATGAACAAATTATTAATGGCTTGTAAATTTTATTTCAGCGGGCAGATTCTCGTCAAGCATCACTATTAGGGGCAGCAGAGCTCTTTAGGAAAGCTAAAAGTGAATTTGCATGTCAAATGACAGAGGAGCAAATAAAGTTATTCAAATGGCAGGTAAGCTCATTCCTACATAAATTATAATTTTTTTTATCAAGAAATAACAATATGTATTAGTATGGAAAATATCCATGTAAGTTATACATCTAACTTTGTGTTGTCCTGGTGGTGTGTTCACTATCAGTCATATAATCATGAAAATTCATTACAGAATAAGATGTTTGTGCTGTAACTTGGTCACTTCCTAAGTATAACCAGGTGCCAGGTAAACTCTGCCAGGTGCATTATGCACTTAAATTTTGTCTAGTGCTACCACTTCATACCTACACAGTGGAGAATACTTCAAAATGCTCCTACGAGGCATCACATAGAGGAAGAGAGTCGACTAGAAAATTCTCAATGCATTCCCGAATGATCATCAAAAGATATATTCCTCTATACAGTAAAACGCAACCTTAATTCTGTGAACAATGAGACCAGGCACAATTCATCGCAGCTGGAGATTTGTTGCAATCGGAAATGCCTTAATGGAGTATTTGTGTGTGATGCAATTATAGTTTTCTGGCACACATCAGTCTTAAAGCGTCCTTAATAACCCCCCAGAAACCAGAGCCAGAATCTTAGCCCCTTCTCATAGGTCCAGGAAGCAGACGATTGTTATGATCACCCTCACCAAGGAAACGTCCAGGAAGTAGGCAAAGACAAACAACAACAAAGTTCACATAAAAGAAATGAAGCAGCAAATGTTAATATTGAGATGGGTAATTAGCATGCCAGATAAAACAGCCAGGAGGTGGGGCATAAAGTGCTTAACCCCTGTACAGCACCAGCCGACATATGGGGTGTGGTAGTGCGCCATTCGACATGTGATGATAGTACAGTATATCATAAGATTTGAAACTCCCATTCATACAAGGGGGTTCACATTTGCTTCCTCTGGCCTCCAGTAACTATCCCCCATCTTGAAAACAAATCCAGAGTCCCTCACTTTCCTTCTAGGCCTTAGTAACTTGACCTACGTAATGTTCCTAAAGTCATGGCCTTAGGAACGTGTAGGGCAGCCATACTATGAGCCACTAAAATTTGAACAGCAGCAAGAGAGTGATTACCATTATATATTTCAGGCAAAGTGTGTTCTATGCCCAATTACAAGATTTAGGCTTATTTATAGGGCTCTATATAAATTAGTATGAATAAATTCATGGTTTGCATATATTTATACACACATCTGTCTGTACATTATGTATATTTTCAAAGTTATATCGTTCTGCCCTGGCCCTCTGCGGTTCTACAGCAGCGGGCTCCGATGGCATTCATTATGAGATGCTTCGCCATCTCCCTCCGTGCACGTCTCAGTATTTACTAAGTCTGTATAATCGGATCTGGGAGTCGTTGTCAGTCCCTGAGGACTGGCTCAATGCCGTTGTCCTCCCTGTTCGCAAACCAGGGGTCTCTGAGAGCATCCCCTAAGGACTTTTGCCCTATTGCCCTCACAAGTTGTGTCTGTAAACTCTTTGAACGTATGGTTAACGTTCGTCTGATGTGGTTCCTGGAACACCATCACCACCTCTCCCCTTCTCAATTTGGTTTCCGCAAGTGCCGCAGCACAACAGATGTCCTGGTGAACTTGGAGATCTATATTCGTACTGCTTTTGCTGCGAAGACCTCCGTTGTTGCCATCCTTTATGACCTGGAAAAGGCTTAAGACACCACTTGGCTTTATCATATTCTATCCCAGCTTCATTCTTTTGGCCTTCGTGGTCATCTCCCTCTTTCTCCGCAGCTTCCTCTCTTGTCGTTCCTATCAGGTGAGGCTTGGTACCGCTCTCTCTGCCTCTTTTCAGCAGTACGAAGGTGTGTCCCAGGGTAGTGTTCTGAGTACTACTCTTTTTTTCTGGTTGCCCTCAATGGTCTTCTTTCCTCTATTCCTTCAGGCGTCTTCTCCGCTCTCTATGTAGATGATCTTACTCTTTGCTGTCAGGGTGATGATTCGCCTCTCCTTCAACGCCGGCTTCAACTTGCGATTGATGCTGTGTCGTCTTGGGCCACCAATCATGGCTTCAAGTTCTCTTCTACTAAGACTTGTGCCATGACATTAGAGTTGGCCATTTCATGAGAGTAGGCAACATAGAGGACACGGCAAACCTCCAATCAGATGTAGATCAGGTCTTTCTATGGGCTACAGAAAATAATATGGTGTTTAACGAGGATAAGTTCCAGCTCATGTGCTACGGAAAAATTGAAAATATAAAAACAGAAACCACGTACAAAACTCAGGCAAATCATAACATAGAACGAAAAGGCAATGTAAAGGATCTGGGTGTACTCATGTCGGAAGACCTTACCTTTAAAGAACACAATAAAGTAGCAATAAAGTCACAACTGCAAGAAAAATGACAGGTTGGATAACAAGAACTTTTCACACTAGAGATGCTATACCGATGATACTTTTCAAAACGCTTGTGCTCTCTAGAGTGGAGTACTGCTGCACAATGACAGCCCCTTTCAAAGCTGGAGAAATTGCTGACCTGGAGAGCGTGCAGAGATCCTTTACTGCTAGAATCCACTCAGTAAAACATCTAAATTACTGGGACCGACTAAAGAGCCTAAATCTGTACTCCCTTGAGCGCAAGCGGGAGAGATACATAATAATTTACAAGTGGAAAATAATTGAGGGGCTGGTCCCAAACCTGCACACAGAAATAACATCACATGAGACCAGAAGACATGGCAGGATGTGCAGAATACCCCCATTGAAAAGCAGAGGTGCAACAGTTACTCTGAGAGAGAACTCTATCAACATCAGAGGCCCGAGACTGTTCAACACGCTTCCACTACACATAAGGGGCATAACTGGCCGACCCCTCACAGTGTTCTAGAGAGAACTAGATAAGCACCTCCAAAGGATACCTGATCAACCAGGCTGTGACTCATACGTCAGGCTGCGAGCAGCCGCGTCTAACAGCCTGGTTGATCAGTCCAGCAACCAGGAGGCCTGGTCGACGACCGGGCCGCGGGGACACTGAGCCCCGGAAGCACCTCAAGGTAACCTCAAGGTAAGGTATGACTTTTACTCGGAAACGGGTCGCTCTTCGTCCCTCTGTCACTTTATGGTCATCCCCTTGAGTACAAAGATTCTGCGAATCTTTTGGGGTTATTCTTTGACACTTGTTTGTCTTGGTCTCCCCATATCTCTTACCTCCGTGTTGAGTGCTCTAAGGCCCTTGCCCTCCTTCGGGTATTGTCCCATACTTCTTGGGGAGCGGATAGGCGCGCACTTTTTGATTTACATTCCTCTCTCGTCCTGTCTAAGCTCGATTATGGTTGCCCTGCTTACTCGTCTGCTTCTCCTTCTACTCTTCGCCGTCTTGATGCTTTGCATCATACTGGGTTGCACCTCAGTTCTGGTGCCTTTCGTTTGACTCCCGTCCTCAGCTTGTATGTTGACACTGGCTTCCTGTCTCTCCAGGACCGCCGTGATCGCTACTGTCTTCGCTATCTTGCGCAGTCCTTACAACATCCTTCCTCTCGCTCTGTCGTGCTTTAACTTTTACCCCTCCTGCGGTTCCTGTCCCTCTTCACCACCTCCCTCTTTCTGTCCAGTTATCTCGATTACAGGATTCTCTTTCCGTTCGTATTTCTAATATTTCTCCTCGTGTTGTTCCTTCTTTGCCCCCATGGAGAGTCCCCCTTCTGCAGTTTTGTACATCCTTGACCCGCATCAGTAAAGCTTTTGCCCCTCCTACGGTTCTAAAACGCCTTTTCCTTGAGCACTTTTCTTCTCACTCGCACTCCGTTTCCGTCTTCACTGATGGGCCCAAGTCTGTGGACGGTGTTGGCTACTCAGTTGTTTTTCCTGATCACACTTATATGTGTCGCTTACCTCCAGAGACTAGCATCTTCACAGCAGAGCTTTATGCTATTCTCTATGCTCTTCGTCTCCTGCTCTCTCATTGTCAATCTTCCTTTATACAGTATCCACTCAATTTAACGGCCTCTTTTATACCGATCTGCTGGTATTAACGACCGGTTTGGGAGCCCAGTAGCTAGAGCCTGCTATACCGGTCTGCGGTCGATATTACCGACAGTCGGTATTGGGTTTGTTGTGGCATCAGCATCCCCTCACATGGCGACCAGGCCGCCACCGACCTGGATCGTCCAGAGTCATATATTACATCTTAATTTTCTTTTAAAATGATTCACTTTAATGAAGAAAATTGTAAATTATTATTAATAAAATATTTTGAAACAGTTTTTATTAAGCAAAAGTCTTTGTTTTCTTAATAAATACCTTTTATAGTATGTATAGGCACTAGGTATTTTTTTCCCACGGACCTAGTATGTACTCCGCCGGCCATGTGTTCCCATTGTTTACCGTGAACTCGCGCGGCTAGCTTCAATTGTGAAGGATATTACTGTACTGTAATTGTGATCTTTTTAATTTACAAAATGCCAAAAGTTACCCAAAGGAAGCGCCTGACGGTTGCACAGAAGCTGGAGTTAATTAAGAAACTTGATAAAGGATATTCTCATGCACGACCAGCAGCAGAGTTTAACATCGGGAAAAGTACAGTAAGTGACATCAAGAAACAGAAGGATACTCTATTAAAATATGCCTGAAAATAAGTGTACATACAGTATGTACCCTGTATACAACATAAACAATATAAAACAAGCGCTGCAGAGGATGACGTAATCTTCACAGCTTCGTAATCTTCAGCTTCATTAAAAGTAAGTCAATTACCAATTTTATTATAGTATTACAAGATATTAATTGTTTTTTTTCAACAAAAGCTACATATTAGTCTCTGCAAATGTATATTCTATCGTCAGCAGAGAAAAGGTGAGCTCAAAATATTTCGTCTTGGCTAGCTCTCAGTGACAAGGCTCGATCGCCATTGTTATGGCATGGCCGCCACAGCGTGTGTTGTAACATTAAAAGTCAGTCAATTTACCAATTTTATTATAGTATTACAAGATATTAGTTGTTTTTTTTCAACAAAAGCTACATATTAGTCTCTGCAAATGTATATTCTATCGTCAGCAGAGAAAAGGTG